CGACCAGTTTGGCCAATATGGCCATTGGGATCGGTGTTGAGTTCTTCAGGGCCACCAGTATGACCAGTGTGGCCACTGGGGTCACTGGGAGAGGTGTCGGGGTCTTCGGGGCCACCAGTATGACCAGTACGACCAGTTTGGCCAATATGGCCATTGGGATCGGTGTTGAGTTCTTCAGGGCCACCAGTATGACCAGTGTGGCCACTGGGGTCACTGGGAGAGGTGTCGGGGTCTTCGGGGCCACCAGTATGACCAGTACGACCAGTTTGGCCAATATGGCCATTGGGATCGGTGTTGAGTTCTTCAGGGCCACCAGTATGACCAGTGTGGCCAGTGAGGTTGCTGGGAGAGGCGTCGGGGTCTTCGGGACCACCAGTATGACCAGTGTGGTCACTGGGGTCACTGGGAGAGGCGTCGGGGTCTTCGGGGCCACCAGTATGACCAGTGTGGCCACTGGGGTCACTGGGAGAGGTTCTAGGGTCTTCAGGAGGTCCAGGAATCCCAGTATGACCAGTATGACCACTGGGATCGGCACTGGGGTCTTCAGGAGCTCCAGGGTCACCAGTATGACCAGTATGACCAGTGAGACCAGTGTTGGAGTCCTCAGGAGCTTCGGGGCCACCAGTAGGACCAGTATGACCAGTATGACCAGTGGGATCGGCACTGGGGTCTCCGGGGGCTCCAGTATGACCAGTAGGACCAGTGGGACCAGCGTTGGCATCTTCAAGAGCTTCAGGGCCACCAGTAGGACCAGTATGACCAGTGCTGGAGTCTTCAGGAGCTCCAGGGCCACCAGTAACACCAGTATGACCAGTGGGACCAGTGCTGGAGTCTTCAGGAGCTCCAGGGCCACCAGTAACACCAGTAGGACCAGTGAGACCAGTGCTGGCGTCTTCAGGAGCTCCAGTATGACCAGTAGGATCAGTGGGACCAGTGTTGGAGTCTTCAGGAGCTCCAGGGTCACCAGTGACACCAGTAGGACCAGTGTCAGCAGCTCCAGGGCCACCAGTGCCACCAGTGCCACCAGTCCCAGCACCAGTTCCTCCAGTCCTTCCAGTCCCAGAGGTGCCACCACCACCAGTCCCAGTCCCACCAGTTCCAACGGTGTCACCACCAGTTCCTCCAGTTCCAAAGGTGCCACCGTGACCAGAACCAGTTCCACCAGTTCCACCAGTCCCAAAGGTCCCAGAGGTGCCACCACCACCAGAACCAGTTCCTCCAGTCCCACCAGTCCCAAAGGTCCCACCACCAGTTTCTCCAGTCCCAAAGGTCCCACCACCACCAGAACCAGTCCCACCAGTCCCAAAGGTGCCACCACCAGTTCCTCCAGTCCCAAAGGTCCCACCACCAGTTTCTCCAGTCCCAAAGGTCCCACCACCACCAGAACCAGTCCCACCAGTCCCAAAGGTGCCACCACCAGTTCCTCCAGTCCCAAAGGTCCCACCACCACCAGAACCAGTCCCAAAGGTGCCACCACCAGTTCCTCCAGTCCCACCAGTCCCAAAGGTCCCACCACCAGTTTCTCCAGTCCCAAAGGTCCCACCACCACCAGAACCAGTCCCACCAGTCCCAAAGGTGCCACCACCAGTTCCTAGAGCTCCTCCAGTCCCACCACTCCCAGAACCGGTCCCACCAGTCCCAAAGGTGCCACCACCAGTTCCTCCATTCCCACCAGTCCCAAACGTCCCAGAGGTGCCACCACCAGTTCCACCAGTCCCTCCAGTCCCATCACCACCAGAACCAGTCCCACCAGTCCCAAAGGTGCCACCACCAGTTCCTAGAGCTCCTCCAGTCCCACCACTCCCAGAACCAGTCCCACCAGTCCCAAAGGTCCCACCACCAGTTCCTCCAGTCCCAGAACTGGTTCCTCCAGTCCCACCACCATCAGAACCAGTTCCACCAGTCCCAAAGGTCCCACCACCAGTCCCACCAGTCCCTCCAGTCCCACCACCACTAGAACTGGTCCCACCAGTCCCAAAGGTGCCACCACCACCAGAACCAGTCCAAGAGGTGCCACCACCAGTCCCACCAGTCCCAGAACTGGTTCCTCCAGTCCCTCCAGTCCCAAAGGTGCCCCCGCCAGTTCCTAGAGCCCCCCCGGCGCCCCCCACCCCCTGCACCCTGACCAGGTGCCGCCCCGTGCCGGGCTCCACGTCGACGGCGAAGGTGTCGTAGGAGGTGGCCACGAAGAGGTCGACGGCGCCGAAGGTGACGTCCAGCGTGACCCGGATGTCCACGTTGGTGAACTTGGGCTGGACGGCGAAGAGGACGGCGCGGCCAGCGGGCAGCGGGCGCCGCTGGGGCGGGGGGAAGCAGTGGCTCTGCGACCAGGGGTCCAGGCAGTACTCCTGCTCCACGGCCAGCAGCCGGTAGCACTGCTGGCCGCCCACGGGGTGGCCCTGGAAGGAGTCGCGGCACTTGGAGCACTGCGGGGACACCGAGAGCGGCGTTGGGGGGGTCACCGGGGTCAACGGTGTTGGCGGGGACCACCCTGGTGGCAGCTGGACACCCAACTGACCAGGTGACCCCATGACCACGTCCCCACACCAGGTGGGCCTGGAAGGGGGTCCTGGGACTTGGGGACATCAAGAAATGTCACTGGAAGGGTCATCAAGGTCATTGGGGGTCATTGGGAGTCATTGAGGGTCATCGGTGTTGGTGGGGAAGAGCCTTGGACCACCCAACTGACCAGGTGACCCCATGACCACGTCCCCACACCAGGTGGGCCTGGAAGGAGTCGCGGCACTTGGAGCACTGCGGGGACACCGAGAGCGGCGTTGGGAGGGTCATCGGGGTCAATGGGGTCAATGGGGTCAATGGTGTTGGCGGGGAAGGGTCCCAGACCACCCTGGTGGCATTGGAAGGGTCATCGGGGTCATTGAGGTCAATGGGGTCAATGGGGTCAATGGTGTTGGCGGGGAAGGGGCTCAGACCACCCTGGTGGCACTGGAAGGGTCATCGGGGTCATTGAGGTCATTGGGGGTCATTGAGGTCATTGGGGGTCATTGGTGTTGGCGGGGAAGGGGCTCTGACCACCCTGGTGGCATTGGAAGGGTCATCGGGGTCAATGGGGTCAATGGTGTTGGCGGGGAAGGGTCTCAGACCACCCTGATGTCACTGGAAGGGTCATCAGGGTCAATGAGGTCATTGGGGGTCATTGAGGTCATTGGGGGTCATTGGTGTTGGCGGGGAAGGGGCTCTGACCACCCTGGTG